AATTCGCATCTGCCCTGTTACACAACGACACTCGTGGCAATGTTGCCGAGTGGTTAACTTGTCAAGTCTACATGCTGCACTATCATGGTTCGACTCCCGCTGGGGACGTTGATAAGATCTATTCGCTGTGGAAACTGCATTCAACTCAAGCCGGGATGAGAATATCTTTTGCAAAAGCAAAACTATGTGAAATGCAATGGAAACGTCAGCTCTACACATATCATTGTGGGAAAATTCGACATATGTATTTGCCCATATATTTGTCTCGGAGTCCTGTTTATGACCGATAGACTCGATATAAGTAAAACACTGAATGAGCAACTTTCGCCATCCCTCTTGGTTAAACTGGTCATGGGAAATTAATGCGAATAAAAAATTCATTTTTAGCGTTAGCCAGCAATTGTGATTTCCTCCATGGCATAATTCATATCCAATCTATTTCTATCATTATCCTTGTTGACATTATGTCGATTATGGTTATTATTATTTAGATTGTAGGTTGAATGGTCGGAATGGTGTTTACAAGGCTGGCCCAATATGAGCTGCTTTTCGGACGACTCGGATTTCAGGCATTACGGCTCTGATGCTGTTCGAAGAGGCGTGTGGAAAGGATGAGCAAATTCTCCTCATCGGTGGCCAAAGGAAGAGAATGTTGCAGTTGCGAATGATTATTTGTGCAATACTTCCTTGCTCCATGTCCTCCGAACTCGACAAATCTATGATGAGTTTGCATCCATGCCACCGAGACAAACGTTGTCAGGACAGAAGAGCATGCTTAGTGTGCAACGAAATGTCGTAGAGCCCAACTGTCTGCTCTGACGACGTCTGTTACCTGGGCACAGGCGAAAGCTCATCACCGACTCGTCGAGACCATGGGACGATGAGCCTAAGACGTATTCGCACTATTCTACAGTTACAACTGCAAGCCAAAATACGAATCCCTTCCCTTCACCTCTTAAGACAAAATGAAAGATACACCAAAATCAATTTGTTAAAGGGGTCTTCGATACCCAACATGTATTCATATTTAACACTCTGAACCCTCCTAAGACTCCTCCACAAAGATTGTCTTCCGATAAGAGAGCCCCAAAACCATAGAGTGGATCCAAAATCGCAGATGTAAAGACCAAGATGAGCCAATAAAATGATTTATTTGGCAATTTGTTGCTTTAATTACATTAAGGAGAATTATTAAAAGAGTCTTTCTTACACGACTGACTAGTTGTACCAACTAATTTGTTGAGCATTTTCAGTTTATAAAGAGGTTTTCGGGACAACCAGTAGATCTGGTATAAGAGCCTCTTGTTCCCCATGAATTTTGCATAGCATTGCCTCCAAAAGGCATTTTTATCCGGAAGTAAGTGCAGTTTCGACCTCAGGATCCCTTGTAGAACTCGAACCCGAGTATCATTGTGCGAAAATTGAATTACCACTCGTTTGTCACCTTAAACGAAACATGGCAAATGCTGCTCTTTTATCTGGTCTTCTGGTAGTCTCGAAAGTCCACTATAAATGGAAAGCAAGTAATGTTGTCGATTGGCATATCGAATACAACTTTGCTTCGTCGACTTTCCCACCACGAAAATGTGATATGGCCTCAGTAAAATGAATATCTGTTTTTTGACTCAAGAGCACTCATTTCAGTCTGGTGTACGCCACATCAGTCGGGTTCGAGTCCCGTTGTGGGTGCAGATAAGGCCTAGGTGAGGTCAAAACTGGATTCCCTTCAAGGTAAGAAGACCTTTTTGTAAAGCAAAGCTATGCGAAATTCATTGTAAACCAAAGGCCTGCTCACCTGATTGAGGAAAAATTCAACTTCCAGTTTTTCAACACCCTAAGCGAAATAGAGTGAGTGACTTCCACTGAAAAACTACTCATGAGTAGTAACTGATTTGGATATTTCTGTTTGGAATTTGCCTCAATGAAAATGAAGGAACTTCCGCTTACTGATAACATTTAGAAAATCTACCATACAGCATAGCTCTGGTAGCTGAGACAAACCATAGAGTTCTGTTGGTTGACGTTAGAAGTGTATGCGAATGAAAGTTGGGTCTCGAGGATTCTTATGGTTGATAGTTAGTCAGCTTACTTCCATTTTAAGTGAAAGTGTTTGGTAAAGAAATTTGAAGGTCTATTCCACCAAAATACGGCTGCGGATCCCCCTTGACCAACTGTCGATTGGCTTTACTAGAACATTCTTGTTGACGCTGTTTTCGAGGCAACAGTTTTCAATTCCTGTGAAAAGGTGCCAAGTTTTCACCCGTTGTATGACGAACATCATCATCCTTACAACTATTTCAGGCTAAAGAGTCAAGAAAACTTATTTTTTAAGAGAAACCAAATTTATCTTTGCTGCTCAGCTATCAAGAGCCTATTCATAAGCCATTCTCCTTTGATACCGGCGAAAACGTGCTGAGCCTTCTGCTGTTATGTGACGGACATTATCATTTTTACGACCATATTCAATGCAAGTAAAGAAAACTCACCGACATATCCCTAAATAATGTATATATGCTCTAAACTTTACGCTTACACACAATCCTTGATATTGCTCGCCCTGTTCCCATTTAGACACTTTGAATCATGCTACCCACATGTCCAATCGAAATAATCTTAATTATGCCCAGCGTTTCAGGTTATAATGGGACTGGAAGCTAAATTTTCCCACAATAATATGAGTAGACCTTACATTTCCATTATATTTCCAACCCATGGATGACCGAATTCACCTTAACGAAATAGTGTGGAAATACTTCATACATAATTGATCTGCTGGTAGTCCGAAGGCCTACTTATAAACGAAAATAAGTAGCGTAGTCAATTGCTATAGCAAATACAAGTTTGCTTTATCGACAATCCCACCACAGATTGTGATATGGAGAAATGACTGGCCTTTCTTGAAATGCATGTCTGCCCAGTTGCCCAAGGACACTGTGGCATTGTGGCGTAGCGGTTAACGTGTCGGGATCATTCACTGCATTGTGATGGTTCGAGTCCCGCTGGGAGTGTTGATAAAACCTAGGCATGGTCCAAACTGATGTTCACACTGTATGAGGATACCTTTTGGGAAAGCAAGGATATATGAAATTTAATGGAAATGTAATATCTACTCATGCCATTGGGGGACGATTCAATTATCAGTCCTTCATAACCTAGTTTATATTAAACAGGCTCTGGCAACAAAGCTTCGCGACCCACAGTCTAACTCTACGTAGATCCTTCAGTATAGCCCTCCATGACTCAATCTTGCTTTTCTCATTAATTCTTCTATAGACCATACCTCCATCACTTGGCATTCAGCTGATATGCGAAGAAAAGTTGGTTTTCGAGGAATCTCTTGTTTCACAATTGTTGAGCTTACTTCCATCTCGAGTGAAAGTGTTTGGTGAAGAGATTCGAAGGTCGGTTCCACCAGAAGACGACGGCGGAATTCTCTTAACCAGTTTCGGTTGGCTTTACTGGAACATTCATGCTGACACTGTTTCCGAGGCAATCTCCTTCGATTCCGGTGAAAAGGGGCTAAGCTTTCGTCTGTCATGTGACAGACATCATCAGAGCGAGGTAACATCGTCACAACCAAATTAAAGCTAACGAGTCAAGAAAACTCACCGGCAAATCCCTAAAAAGTGGTACACATATTCTACATCTGGCCTCTTTGACCAAGCATAAAGTGATTTGGTTAGTTATGGTCATATGTCAACTTCGCTGCTTGTGAGTGTGTCTGTATCTGTATGTGTGCGTGCCTGTTTGTGTTCGCTTGTGCACAAACAGGCAGACACACTCACAAGCATCGAAGTTGACATATGACCATAACTAACCAAATCACTTTATACTTGATCAGAGGCCAGATGTAGAGTATGTGTACTACTTTTTAGGGATTTGCCGGTGAGTTTTCTTGACTTTCAGCTTGAATTTGGTTGTGACGACGATACCTTGCTCTGATACTGTTCGTCAAATGACGGACGAACGCTTAGCACTTTTTCATCGGAATCAAAGGAGATTACCTCGACAAACAGCGTCAGCATGAATGTTCCTGTAAAGCCAACCGACAACTGGTCAGGAGGAATCGGCCGTCGTCTTTTGGTGGAAGCGAGCTTCGAATCTTTTCACCCAACACTTTCACTCGAAATGGAAGTAAGCTCAACAATTGTGGAACAAGAGAGTCCTCGAAACCCACTTCGCTTCTATGACTCATGTCTGCGACTGAGTGCTTGGGCTTGTGCAGTGAGCTCTGTCGGTCGGCGTTGTCAACGCGAAATTGGCACACATTTCTCTCTCTAGCCCGAGCACAGACGCGACTGACCCACGGCACAAATCATAGCCCTGTACCCTGGTACTAAAATC